TGTGTAAAAACCCTGACTACAGGCAGTGTTGGGGCTGCTCATGAGCACAAGAAGTCCCGCTCAGCAGCAACCTGGAGCCGCACAGGGTCTTGCACTGCGCATTGCCCGTTTTAAGACTACAGCAGTTCTATTCCACTCAGGATGCAAACTGCTCTGGGGGAAAAATTAGAGGGAGCATTGGCTACAGGGCCAAAATATACCATGAGTCAACCTATCTGAAGAAATATTCAAAAGGGACCCTTTGCAAAAATCACACCGAATCCTTTCTTGTTCATGCCCTGAGAAACAAAGTTTTTTTAAAAATGCATTCTAGCACTCTGCAACCCATGTGTGCCAACCGTCGACCAACGTTTCTCTTTATCCACCCCTGATCCCACATCAAACGTTCACTCTCTCCTTCAATTTCTCACCGGGTTAGAAAAATCTCCATTTGAGCCCTGAGAAACACAGTCGAGTATTTCACAGCCTCTATGTTTCTCTCCGTAAGTACAAGCCCACAAAGCAGAGCTTAACGGGCTTGCTCTCTCACTCAGTTCCCCCTCACACCGACAGTTTTTCCACCATGTGGGTTCTCTCGTGTTTCGTGAGCTTTGACCTCTGACTGTAGCTCTTCCCACAAACCGAACACTGGTAAGGTTTCTCTCCCGTGTGAGTCCTCAGGTGTAACGTGAGCCCTGAGCTCTGACTGAAACCCTTCCCACAGGCCGGACATGGGTACGGCCTCTCGCCCGTGTGGGTCCGCTCATGCTTGATAAGGCCCGAGTGGTGCCGGAAGCTTCTCCCGCAGATGGAGCACTTGTACGGTTTCTCGCCCGTGTGGGTCCTCTCGTGTGCAATGAGGGTCGAGTTGTGTCCAAAGGACCTCCCACATTCAGAACAGGTGTACGGTTTCTCGCCCGTGTGGGTGATTTCGTGCCTCACGAGGTCCGAGCTGCGAAGGAAGCTCTTCCCGCAGTCAGAGCACCGGAAAGGTTTCACCCCTGTGTGGGTTCTCTCGTGCAGGATGAGATTGGACCTCTGGCTGAAGCTCTTCCCGCAATCTGCGCATTCGTACGGCCTCTCCCCTGTGTGGATTCTTTTGTGAAACCGAAGGCCTGAGCTTTTACTGAAGCTCTTGCCACAGGTGGGGCACTTGTATGGCTTCTCCATCGTGTGTTCAGAGGCCGGGTGGCTGCCGCTCTGATGCAATCTTTTCCCGCAGTCAAAAGGTGTACACGACTCCTCCCCGGTGTGGGTTCGCTCGTGTTTCATAAGGCTCGAATACAGGCTGAAGCTCTCCCCACATGTTACACAGGTGTAAACTTTCTCTTCCAAGGGCGGTTCTTCAAGCTTGCTAAGGCCCAAGGCCTTGGTAGAGTTTTCCCGGCAATCAGAGCATTCATAAGGCTTCTGCCCCAGGTGGTTTTGCTCTCCCTCATTCACATTTGAGCCGCAAGGGAAGTTTTCCCCACAGCTCAGGCACCTATTCAGCTTCTCGCTCCGGTAATGGACAGAATCGGGGCTCTTACCAGACACTTCCCTAGACTCCGAGCATTTATGAGGTTTACCTTCGGCATCGATTAAGAAATCCGAGCCCTCATCAAAATCATTCTCGTCACAGATTTCTGAACTCTCGAATGTGGAGCTGACTGGTGTGTCATTGGGTTCTCCTCTGCCTCCTTCCAAAACAGACAGGTTTGGCTTTTTTACTGGGCTGGTTCCCGGCTTCCCTTTTAGACCATGCCGTTTCTCTGTGGGTTGCCCTGGAGCTTGATGCTGGGAAACGTCTTTTGCTTTTCCGAGAACCACCCCATGAAATCCCACTCGCATGGCTTTTCCCCTTGAAGAAATCTCCTCGCTTTCACTTGATCCCTCATCATCACCTGTCAAACATGGGAGTGAAAAGTTTGCATTAGTCATGACAGATTAAGGACCTTTTCTGTCTAACAGGACAAACATTCTCTTTAAAAAACAAAACATGAACCCTTAAAGTATTTATACCTCACCATAGCTATTACAGAGAATTATGACCCAAGCTAACTCTGGTGCTAATCAAACAGACTCAAGAGCAGATAAAAGGAAGTACTCCTATATCCCAAAGAGTCATTTACACATGGAATTCATTGCCGCAGGAAATGGTGGCAGCTACAAGCACAGACAGCTTCAAGAGAGGATTAGATAAACATCTGAAGCAGATGTCCATCCATGGCTATTAGCTACAATGTATAGATGGAATACTCTGTCTGGGGCAATGATGCTCTGTAGCTTGGGGGGCAACAGTGGGAGCTCTGTTGCTTGGGGGGCAACAGTGGGAGGACTTCTGGAGTTCTGGACCTGCTGGTGGCCTCCTGGTGGCACCTGGGTTTGGGTCACTGTGTGACACAGAGTGTCGGACAGGATGGGCCATTGGCCTGATCCAACATGGCTTCGCTTATGTTCTTATTCCTGTTCTGGCAGTAGTGTGACAAACGATACTAAAAATCCTTTTCTAATATTAAAGAGACCTTTTTGAACCCAATAAAACAAGTGCTTTATTCTTTCCTTTTTGTTTATTGCCCTTGTATGAGCCCCACATCCGGGGAACGGTAAACTCTCTACTATATTCCACACAGGATCTTTCATTCATCTATTTTTCAGCCAAAAATTTCCCTCAGACTTTCTTCTCAAAACCTTTCTCATTACACAGCATATTGGGACTATTGGGTTAAATGTTAAAAAAAATAAATCATTTGCCTTGGAAGCACAGAAGTATTACGCAGTATCCCCAATCTTCTGCATTTCCCGGTTAAGGGAAAAATGCTGTTCAAACAAATTCCAAAGATGATCCGACTCCAGGGGTAACAGGAGAAAAACATTTTACATCTTACGCGACACATTCATGTAGGCTATATTTAACTTATTGTGAACACATTAATTATAAAAAGGTTAACTGGCTGCAGCTTCAAGCCCAGGTGTGTGTGTGTGTGTGTGTGTGTGTGTGTGTGTGTGAGAGAGAGAGAGAGAGAGAGAGGGAGAGAGAGGGAGAGACAGAGAGAGAGAGAGAGAGAGAGAGAGGAAGAAGAAGAAGAAGAAGAAGAAGCCCTATATAAGATGAAAATAGATGGCAAAGCAAGGACCAAAGAGGCTCGACATCTTGAGACAGTGGGGCCAACTGCCAAGTAGTGCACCCAGTGAGAGAATTCTCTTAACCCTTTCCCTTCCAAATCCTCGTGCATGCAGAATTACAAGATCCAACAGGGACCACCCATAGAAGAGCACACCTTTTTCATACACTCAGGGGAACTCCCCAGGTATGCAACAACAAAACACCCTGGCTTTGTAAATTAACCTATAAGGACTGAGCATGCTTCAAGAGGCGTGGAATGCTGAGAGCAGCTGAGTGAAATGAATAATATAGGGTGGAAGGGGGGAGGAGATGTCAGCTTGTCCAACCCCCTTAGAGCTTAGTGAATCATAGAAAGGAAGCTGTTGTGGGGGAGAAGATTTACAGATTGCTCCCCATTCCCCCATCCTAGAGGGTTCCGCAGGGCCTGCAAGACGGAGCTCTTCCGCCAGGCATTTAATTAGGGGCCGCCACCGCTGTAGCGCCCAGCCCGTAACTGTACCATCAAGCAGCTGCCATAAAAGTTGATGAGCAGAAGAACATCTAAGCACTTTCAGATAGTTGGAAGTCCGCTTGAAAGTACGCCGTCTAAGTGAATCTTTAATTGCTGCCAGCACTTTGCTTTGTACTGTTTTAACTGTTGCGTTTTAATTATTGTATGTTTTCAGTCTGTATTTATGGCATCTGGAAGCCGCCCTGAGCCTGCTTTGCGAGGAGGGTGGGGTATAAATTGGATAATAAATAAATAAATAAATAAATAAATCTTGCTCCTTCTAATAGCAAACTCCATCAGCAAGGCAGCAAAACAGGGCTGCCGACAGTCCAGATTGGATAGAATTTACCAAGAACGCTTTCTTTCACCTCAGTCTAGCCCGGACGACGGCCCTCTGCCTTGACTCAGCCGATCTGGTCGCTTGTTTCAACACCACAGTGACATCAAGGCCCGACTACTGTACTGTGCTCTGTGTAGGTCTTCCCCTGAAGTCAACTCAGAGACTCCAACGGGTATAGAATGCCGCAGCTCAGTTATCAGAAGTCACTCAGTTGGCTGTTACCAGGTTCAAATTAAGATACTGACTACCACGTACAAAGCCCTTCATGGCCATGATCCCTGATATTCAAGTCTGCCTCTCGTAAGAACAGCTCTGCTGGATCAAACCAATAGTCCACCTAGTCCAGCATCCTGTCTCACACAGTGGCCAACCAGTTCCTCTAGAGGGCCAGCAACAGGGCAAAGAGGCCGAGGCCTGCCCCTGAGGTTGTCTCCTGGCTCTGGGATTCAGAGGTTTCGTTCCTCTCAATGTGGAGGCTCCCTTCAGTCACCATGGCTAGTAGCCACTGATAGACTTATTCTCTATGAATCTATCTAATCCCCTTTGAAAGCTGTCTGTTCCTGTGGCCATCACTACATCCTCTGGCAGTGAATTCCACATTTTAATCACTCTCTGTGTAAAGTTGTCTTTCCTTTTGTTTGTCCTGGACCTACTGCCCCCTCAGCTTCACTGGATGCCCCCGAGTTCTAGTATTTTGAGAGAGGGAGAAAAATATCTCTTTGTCCACTCCCTCCCCCCCCATGCATAATTTAAAAAACCTCTCTCATGTCCCCCCCCCCTCAGTCGTCTCTTTTCTAAACTGAAAAGTCCCAGACTCTTCAGCCTTTCCTCAAGGGAAAGGGCTCCAGCCCCCTAATCATCTTGGTTGCCCCCCTCTGCACTTTTCCCAGCTTTACAGTGTTCTATTTAAGATACAAGGACCAGAACTGTACACAGTATTCCCAATGAGGCTGCATTTTTACACAGGTAATAGAGCTACACTACAACAAAATAGTTGAAAAAGATGGGTTAATAAAGGGATCGAGACCGTGGACTATATTGCTGCGTATAGTTCATACTTGGAGGGAAGGTGACAGGGTATAACTTGAGTTTTCAGCTAAACATTAGGAAGAACTTCCTGACAGTTGGAGCGGTTCCTCAGTGGAACAGGCTTCCTCAGGAGGTGGTGGGCTCTCCTTCCTTGGAGGTTTTTAAGCAGGGGCTAGATGGCCATCTGACAGCAATGCTGATCCTGTGAACTGAGGCAGATCATGAGAGGGAGGGCGGGAAGGGTTGCCTCAGTGCTTAGTTCTCGTGGCCCTTTCTTACACGCCCAGGGAAATGCTGATCGCCACTTTGGGATCAGGAAGCAATTTTTCTCCGGGCCAGTTTGGCTGGAGATCCTGGAGGGTTTTTTTAATCTTTTGGGCGTGAAACAGTGGTCACTGGAGGGGGGCATTTGTGAACTTCCTGCATTGTACAGGGTGTTGGACTAGATGACTCCGGAGGTCTCTTCAAAATCTATGATTCTATGATCTTGTCAGATCTTGGTATTTGGACAGCAGGCCACCAAGGAAGACTCTGCAGAGGGAAACAATGGCGGACCACCTCTGCTTCTCACGTGCCTTGAATGCCCCTTGCTGGGGTCACCGTAAGTCAGCTGCAACTTGAAGGCACTTTTTACACACACACAGGCACAGAGTTCATGATCAAGAAGGTCAGCCATGTTAGTCTGTCTGCAGCAGCAGAAAAGAGCAAGAGTTCAGGAGCACCTTAAAGACTAACATTTATCTGAAGAAGTGAACAGTGACTCATCAATATTGTTAGTCTTTAAGGCACCACTGGACTCTTGCTCTTTTCTACTTCTACATTGTTCAGGCTACCTCTTGCTGTATGTATGATCCTACTATGTAATTTCTACATGGTTTTTCACGTTGTGTTGACCCTTATGCTTTGCCTCAGCTCTGTTTTCAGATTACTGCCCAATTTCAGGTTTCTTCAGTTCTAATCCTATTGCGTTGCTTAGCGGATGCGGATTGTATTTACACTATGTAAAGTCTCCGGGAGAAAGGCAGACTACATATAATGTCAATCAGCAAAGTAAATCACACTGAAGTGAAGAGTTTGCAAGCCAAGATTTTACCCAATTTACTGTGCAAGCTTGCGCCCTCACTGAAATTCTCTTCCTTGGGCTCTCCGTTCAGTAGAATATGTCTAGAATCCATCTGCTTGCCCTTGAGACGAACTACGGCTCCTTCAAACGGCCCCGAGTTCTGAAACAGCAACAAGAGACCCATGTTCAGGGCAAGAAACAGGGCTGAGAAAGTGAATGCTACAGACAACAAAGCCGCATGGTATACTGGTCGGTCCATGATTCAGGAGACCTGGGTTCAAATCCCACACACCCATAACATTCACTAGGTGACCCTGAGCCAATAACTTTCTCTCAGCTGACCCTACCTCACAGGTCTGTTGAGAGGGTAAAACCCAGAAGAGGAGAAAAAGTTTGCCACCCTGAGCTCTTTGGAGGAAGGGAGGGATAAAATTGCAGGTTCAGGACTCTAATCTTCTTCCTTTCTCTTACCCTCCCGTCCATCAGCTCAATCCCAGCAGGTAACATACTGTTGCCATGCCGAAGACGAAATAATTATATCCAATACTGAAAAAAGCCTCAGAATGGGGATCATAAAATCTGAACAATGGGGCCACGTACCGACAGGGATCTCTCCCCCCACCCAAGCCTGGAGGACGCCCCAGGTTTGCAGGAAAATGTGAAATGTGAAACTAAATGAATACATTAAAAAAAATAGGGATGGTTTAAAGACCCCAGAATCATAGATGTAACGTTTGCTTGTTTAAGAAAAGAACACCACTAACATCTCATGAGATATTTTGGCAATAGAGCTGCCAACCTCAAAGTGAGAAAAATAACGAAGAGTCAATAAAGATAAGTTGCAAAGACATTTACTGTAGTAATTGCTACTTATCTTTATTGACTCTTTGTTATTTTTGTCACGGATGTTGTTTCTGGAACTCCACTTCCTCCAGTGATCTCTCATTTTGGGCTTCAACCTCAAAGTGAGGCCCGAGGCTCTCTCAGAATGACAACTCTTCTCCAGACATCAGAGATCGGTTTCCCCTGGAGAGGAGCAAAAATGGTAAAAAGGGAAAGTGGAAGATGGGACGGGGGAAACGTGGGTGAGTGGGGGGAGGGACAGATGCTGCTGGAGGGAGAAACAGAAAAGAATATCTGGGTGAATGCCAGGAAGAAAAGGAGAGAGAAGTGACCAGAAAATGGTAGGTAAGTGGGTCGGACTGAAGGAAGGGGGACAAGCTACAGGCACTGTCAACGGGAACCAGGGGTCATTTCGTAGGAAAAGAGGTGCAGGAGCTCATTAGCATAACTCATTAGCATAACTTATTTGCATATGCCACACCCCCTGACATCACCGGACGTGTGTCAGAAGGCAACACCCACCGCTTAGGCTCCACTGGACTCTTTTGGATTGCTAGCTATGGGGGGGGGGGTGCCGATCTGCCCTCGCAGAGGAGGGAGAGCTTGTACCTGAATAAAACTTGGTCTTAAAGGTGCCACTGGGCTGTTTTGGATTGCTAGCTATGGAGGGGAGAATGCACAGATCTGCCCTCACAGAGGAGGGAAAGCTTGTACCTGAAGGCGGGTGGCTCTGCAACTTATCTGGCTGCTTCTTGCTTCTTGTGGCCCGACTGAGGGCTGCTGGGAGCAGGGGGCGGGGCTTGTTGCATGTGCCCGCCCCCTGGGCTCCTTACTGCTGGAGCTCTGCTCCTGTGCCCTCCTGCAGGAAATGACCCCTGACGGGAACCAAAGTTTCCTCTCACACTGCCCTCTTGACCGCTATCTCTGGCAAGACTGTTGTCACAGGCAACAGGATGGAAATCCCTCTCCCAGTCTCCACTCTGTGATTGCCCAGCACAGCACACACGTCTTGCATAATCCGATCGAGAATTTTAACCCTGCCAGATTCTTTTCCGGGGCCGACTAAGCCGCACCCTGTTTGTATCTCTGCTCCCCTCCCTCCCAACGGTGACACCTCTCCCCATCCTCACCTGCTCTTCCGCCCTCTCCTCCTCCCGCCGCTGCGTCTGCAGGAACTCTTCAGCTAAGGCCACCGCCTGGGCACAGGTCTCCGGCCCCCCTTCCTGGACCCAGCACTGCATTTCCGAAGGCAGGATGGTCAGGAACTGATCCAGGATCACCAGCTCCAGGATCTGCTCTTTGGTCCGCCTCTCCGGCTTCAGCCACTGGTAGCCAAATTCCCGGAGCTGGATGCACGCCTCTCGGGGCCCCTCGGCCTCCTCGTAGCAGAAGTGCCGGAAGTGCTGGCGTTGCCACTCCCGACAGCTGGCCTCTCCTCGCAAGAGGGCCGCTTTCATTTTCCCAACACTCTCCCTGATGTCAAGGCTGTGAAGGGCCGCCTCGGCGTCTCCGAGGCCAGGGACCAAGCGAGTTACCCACTGGCTGGCCTCATCGGCTCCCTCAAAATGGGCCAGAAAGGCCTTAATATCTTCCCATGGTGTCATGGGCTCTGTCAACTGTTTGTTGCCCCAGTAGGTCTGCTTCCCCTTTGGGGACTCCAGGATTGTTTGACTTCGGGGCAGCTCTTCCTCTGGCTCCTCTTTAACCTGCAGAGCTGTGACCCTTTTTGGTATTTTCCTTCCAGAATGGCTGACTTGAGGAGACACTTTTCCCTCTCTCTTCAAACACTTTCTTTGTTTGTGGACCTGTTTGTCCATCTTCTCTCCAGGATCTTCCTCCTGATCCAGGGCAGCCTGTTCTCCCACAATCCTTTGCTCATCCGCCATTTTCTTTCCCAGGCTAAGGAACAGGTATGCCGTAGCTCCAACCTGCCTCTGCTTTCCCTCGCCTTAGCAGAGAAACGTCAGTCAGTTTCGGCCTTTCTTCAGCTCCTAGCCTCAGAAGCAACAGCGTTCTCACGGGGGCACCTTGATCCTATGGGAAAAGACACACAAAATTAATTATACATTAAACCAGGGCTATTTTTGGGCAGGAACACACAGGAACGGAGTTCCGGCTGGCTCCCGAGTTGGCCACGCCCGGCAGGAACTCATTAGCATAATAGGCCACACCCAACAGCAGAAACTCATTAGGATTGGCTACATTAGGGGTGTGTAGCCTAACATGCAAAGGAGTCCCTGCTACAAAAAAAGGCCCTGGGTTTTGACAACAAACAAGGTAAACAGAATAAGAAGCAAAAGGTGGGTGTGGCTGGATGACCACACTTCTGGTAATGTGGGGGCGTGTGGCCTAATACGCTAATGAGCTGCTCTGTCATGGGTGTGGCCTAATATGCTAATATGTTTCTGCTGTTGGGTGTGGCCTATTATGCTAAGGAGTTCCTGCTGGGCTTTTTCTACAAAAGAAGCCCTGCATTCAACTTTGATCCAACAGTAGCCACATACATAATGGAGACGAGGTGTATTTTCAGAAAAGCGCACTTCATAATTTCACTAACAACGGCCCTTCTCGAATTTATACCATGATGGAAAAGTCCGGAGTCTCTACCTGATCATTTCTGAATTTAGGAACTTTTAATTCTTCAGAAATTGTCATGATAGGGAAGAGCCCCAACCAGACGGATTGGTTTATGGAAAAGCAGTTCCTAACAACATATTTTTTTGAACAGTGCTTTACCAATAATAATTATTTTGGACAGACAAAATGAAGTTGGGCAAAAACCAAATAATAAACAACACCGGTCCTTTTCAGATGTCATAACTGTGTGTATCTCCGGAATGGCCCAGGCGAGCCTGATCATGTCAGATCTTGGAAGTCTAAGCAGGATCAGGTCAGGTTAGTACTTGGATGAGAGACCACTGAAGAATGCAGAGGCAGGCCAACGGCAAACCACCTCTCTCTTGCCTTGAAACCCCCTTGAGGGGCCTCCATAAGGTGGCTATGATTTGATGCCACTTTTCCATCACCACCAGGCGCCCGCTTTGGTAAAGACAGCTTTTAAATTTATTTAGTGACACTGTGATGTATTATATGAAGGAGCTGCGGTGGCTCAAGTGGTTAAGACGTTGAACTGCAGGCTGTGGAAGGTCAGTAGTTCAGCGGTTCGAGACCCGAGTGTGCCGCATGACGGAGTGAGCTCCCGTCTCTAGTTCCAGCTCCTGCCAACCTAGCAGTTCGAAAGCAAGAAATTGCAAGTAGATAAATAGGGACCACTTCGGTGGGAAGGTGACAGCGTTCTGTGCGCCTCTGTGTTTAGTCATGCCGGCCACATGACCACGGAAACGTCTTCGGACAGCGCTGGCTCTTCGGCTTTGAAACGGCGACGAGCACCGCAACCCTAGAGTCGGACTCGACTGGCTTTCGAGCAAGGGAACCTTTACCTTACCTAATGTATTATATAACGACTACATTAGCTTTCTCCCTCCAGCTTAGGGAATGGGCCATTTGAAAAAAAGGAAACTGATGCGGAAGGTTTGCTACCAGGCCTTGGATCACAAGGAAGCACGCAGCAAACGATTCGAAAGTCCATGGGTTCTTGGGTAAGGTTGCCAAATGTATGACGAGCCCCTGCAGCCATGCCTTTTACAGCAGCTTGAACTATAGCAGTTAGCAAGTGACCGTGCCCCAGTTTAAAAGCACAGCGGCAAGGTCTGCGAAAGAACTGGCAACTCCCGCCTCCAAGAAGCAAGGGTAAATTTCCTGTAATTTAGAGAAGTGGAAGGGTGGTGTGTGGTTTCCACCCCCCCCCCCAACAATGCAATCCTAAATGGAATTAGACCCTTTTAAATCCTTTGGAATCAATTGACTTGGTCTGGAGTCACTCTGCATAGAGTTGCACTGGCTGCTTGATGGAGGAAGGTGCCGATATTCCAAAACGCACCAGGGTGTCAGGGTTTTCATTTGTGAAATGGGCGAGGTGCTGGGTAGGGTCGCCACCAGCTCTGGATGGGGAAACCCCTGGAGATTTGGCAGCTGAAACCTGGGAAGGGTAAGGTCTGGGGAGGGGACCAAGTTTAAATGCCGCATCTTACCTTGGACTCATAAAAAACCCTAATTATAGATGGGCATTTACTAGAGCACGGCTTGATGCGTTACCCTCAGCAGTACTTTATGGTAGATATACCCGGACTCCCATGCACCAGAGAATTTGCTCCTGTTTGTTAGAACAGGTGGAGTCGGCTTCCCATATATTACTCCATTGCCCTATGTACGACGAAGAGAGACAGCAGTTGTTGATACCCCTTCTCTCACGTTTTAAACCCTTGGCTAATTATCTTACATATGCCGAGGAATGTCTGATGAAGTTCTTATTGGCCGATACTTATGATTCTGTCTCACGCAATGTTGCTAAATATTGTTATTTGGTAATTAAAAAGCGTAGAATGTCCTGTAACTCGAGCCATTAATGGCGGAATTGACCGGTTTCGTATTTTAGTATTTGGGGCTGCAGGGATTCTATGTCGTAGACTCGGTGTTGTACTATTTTGGTTTATTTTGCTGGTCTTATGACTGTTCTTAACAAATTTGTTTGTTTGTTTGTTTGTTAAGGTCTGGGGAGGAGAGAAACCCCAGCAGGGCATAATGTCCATCCTCCAAAAGCAGCCATTTCCTCCATTTCTGTAGTCTGGAGAACAGTTCTAATTCCGGGAGAGCTGGAAAGTTGGCAACGCTATGACCAGCAGTCCACACTCAACCCGGCAGGAGCAATGGAAACAAAGAGAGGTGGTGGGGATGAATCCAGCACATCCCCTAGGCAAATGCCCGTTATCTCCTCTCCCTGAATTTAGGATGGAGGGGGGTACCAGCCTGCGTGTACGGATCCCTCTCTCTCGTTCCGCTCCCCGCCAAGGGCCCCCCCTGACTCACCTCCCTTTGAAACCTGCAGCACCAAAGGCAAAGAGAACAGAAGAAGAACACTTTGCAGATTTCACAATCCCTGCAATAACCGAGGCTGGAGAAATTCAAAAGGCAGATTCCCTCCTGGGGAAGGTGGAGCAGGAAAGGGATTGCAGCTCCCATTCCTCCTTTGAAATTTCCGGGCCTCTCTGGCAACTGGATTCTCTATCGAGTTAACTCTTTGAAGGATCCAATCCTTCCATTTCCCCCTCCCCTTTAAAAAAAAAAAAAAACTGATAGGTTACTGGATTTTAACTTTTGGAGAAATCTTTTCTTTAAAAAACAAACAAAAAACGAGCAAAACTGGCCCCGCTCCTGTGCTTCAACAGCAGCCTGCCATGGAAAAAATTCAACAGGTCAAGTTTGGGGTCTATTTGTTTCCTCCTGCCCGGAAAAATAGTAATTGACCTGGTGGATTTCTGCCTGTTTAGCAGCAAAGAATTGGTTGCAACCCTGATCCTGACCATAGAGCTTTCTATGTCAACAGTGCTTAATTTCTGCCTGACATGCAGCTGTTGGAGGGAAGACTTCAAGAAGGTAGAAAGCTTTTAAAATTATAAGGAATTCTCATTGCCTGCTCCACTGTATGTATTGTGGTGGTTTTACTGCATTGTCTACCAGTGTGTTTTCCTGGTTTAAGGCCTTGTTTGTTTATATTATACTGCTTGTATTGTATTGTTTAATTGTGTCGTTTGCCTTTAGCCTATGGGAGAGGCCGATTATCAACAGAACAAACAAATTTGGTTAACTTGCAAACTGCTTTAATTCGGCTTTGGAACGTTTAGACAGATTTGTACTGATTGCCTGTTTAAGGTCTGAAATTAAGATCTTCGGAAAGGGCAGGCTGTAAATATATCTGGAAACAGAACCTCCAACTTCAGAGGCGGAGTACCTCACAAGCATGACAAATGGTATCCTGTGCACATGGCCGGCTCACCCACTAGGCGAACTAGGCATTCGCCTAGAGCGCCGGGCCTTGGGTGGGGCGGCAGGCCCTGGATGGGGCGCTGAGCTGTGCCTCCCCCCCCGCCCTCTTCTTTTTCTTCTTCCCTTGCCCCTCGAGGAGGAGGCCAGGGGCCGCAGGGGCGGAGGAGTGGGTCCCGCCGCGGGCTTGGCCGAAGAGAGGCACGCCTCCCTCCCTCCTCCCCCCCTTCAGTGGTAGCGGTGGCGGGGGGAGGAGGTGGTGGCGGCGGCAGCAAAAGGGTGGCTGGCTCCAGAGGTCTCCAGGTTTCCAGGCCCCACCGGGAGGTTGGCACCTGCGCCACAAGGCAGCCTCGCCTAGGGCGCAGAAACACCTCGAGCCAGCCCTGCCTGTGCAGTGCGCAGAGCTGTATATGCCTGCACATTTAGGAGCATGTCTGTTAGACACAAGATTTATCCTCTTCCTCACTCAGAGAGGGAGCTTTTGGAGATCTCTGCACGACAGAGTTGAACCTTGAAGGCTGACTGTTGCGACAACTCCCACGAACAAAATTTTAGCAGGGCAGTGCTCGAAAGGTGTGTATGGGGGGAATCAAGAGAAAATCAAGACAGTGTTTGACTTAAGGACAGGGGCCACGAAAAGGGATTGTCCCTGCTGGAGTAGAGACTTCAGAAATATAATAATGAGTTCAGGAAATGATCTGTAGTATGAGAATAAAGGAATGTTAAGCTCCCCCCCTTTCATCTGTGGAATGCTGGATAACACGGAGAAGTCAGGCAAACACCTAGACGTGGAAGGGATGGGGTTAAGGTTGTCAACCTCCAGGTGGTTCCTGGAGATCGCCCGCTATTACAATTGATCTCCAGATGACCAAGGTCAGTTCCCCTGGAGAAAACGGCTGCTTTGGGGAGTGGACTCCAGGGCACTGTACCCTGCTGAGGCCCCTCCCCCTCCCCAAAGCCCACCCTCTCCCCAGGCTCCACCCCTCAAAATCTCCAGGTATTTCCC